CATTGACGCATGCGCATTGCCCTTATTAGTTGTTTTAGAATACAAACCATATCATTCTGCAAAACTATAAACAAAATATTTGTTAAAATAATATATTAGACACAACAATATTGCACTATGAAGATCTAGTTAACTATATCGAAATGAACAATATCCATGAACGGAACAACATAACTTAAATTTACAGAATAAAGAGAAATATTATACAAAAGTTTAGACAATGTGGTCAGAGTTAAAAGCAGAAATAAAATGATTTGTCATAAATAAATAAAAAAAATGATAATAAAAAACAGCAAAAACAAATAATGTTTACTTTTTCAAATTTAAGGAAATTTAACCACCAAGTTAATGCAATCATACTGTTCGTGAATTTGTGAACGAGATTTATTGTGTAATTTTACTTCTATAAAGAGTTTCACTTCCGCTCTGAGAAGTTTCACGTGTTAGAAATATGAGCGTCAAAGTAGTCTTGATTTATCTTGTAATATGTCGATTTGTGACCAATATTATTCCACAATTTGTCTGCATTGCCATAGCAATTTACCAGATAATACAAAACGGAACTTTGTTAACAAAAACAATGGCGGTGTACAATTCGTTAAATTTGGGGATATCGGCACACTGGAACAAAATATACCAATTTGTTTTACATAGAAACTAGAGATGCTATACAACAAATAAATACACCGCCACGCGTTGCACAGAGCAAATTTAAATACTTCTGTTGAACCGTTCTAAATAACTGTTACAGTAATACAAATATTCTCACACAAAAATAGCACCTGAAATGTACGTTTCATTATACCAAAAGACGACGACAATATAGTCGTCATTCAAAGGTAGAACATGTAATGAGGTCATAGGTCATGACCAAAGTGAATTTTGACCTCCCTCCATTTAACCTGTACACAGGTTTAACAGAGCCATCTAGTGTTCAAGTGTGATTGTTTATTTAAAGCTGTTAAATATTTACGTCTGTAATTATATTTTCCCTATTATTGCTTTCAATTCTTTGTCCCAAAGACATCCTACTCTTAGGTCGAAAAGGTTCGATATTTTGTTGCATTAGGCAAATCGCCAAATTAATATATGCATTGGCTTGATATAATTCCTACCAATTGTAGATGCGATGACATTATACATGCCTCACACAGTTGTTTCACAGAATCTTCGAAATATCTCTAAAGCTTCGTGCATAGTCGGATGTTCGTCAAAAGCGGTTAATCCTCTGCTATCTTTGGTAGAATCTTCACCATTAATCGAGTTCATAAACTGATCACCGTTCCTGGTGGACCTTCTGGAAATCCATCTGGACGGGGGTCGCCTGTTGATGGGCTGAGGTCTTGGGAAACGGGCGGTGAGCGATGGCGCCACATCCGCTGTGATCTAACTCAGTTGGAGGGAGTGGACAAACATTTTCAAAATAAAGAAGGAAAATCATAATACAGGAAGTGCAAAATAAACCCGAGGAGAAGAAGAAGAGGAAAAGACGGTGCCTGGGATGTACAAATTAAATCCGAAAAAGGGCGATTTTTGTAATAAATATTAACGATATGATAAACGACAAAGCAAAATAAAAAACAAAAGAACAAAAACACAATCATGAACAAGGAAATTAAACAATACAGTTACAGGAAGGAATCCCAACAAATTGGACAATCACCAAGGATATTAAGGTTAATGAAACAAACGACAGCCAAGTATCAGAAAAGGGAAGATGGGAGAAACGGAGAGAGAAAGAAAGCCAGTTAGAATCTCCAGGATCACACCATGCAAGTTTAATCTAATCTATCGTTTACGTTTAATTTTTTTCTAGTATACACAATTTTGTAAGTGGAATAATGAAATCGGCAAGGGCACACGGACACAGAGGGGGTAGTATTGTTAGACCATGGAGTGACAATTCACCACGCAGTTAAAGACCACCAGAAACCACACGTGATAAAGACGAGCGTAGAAAAAAAGAAAAAGAAACAAAAATTGGACATGGGGCGAAAATGAAAAAAAAAAAGAATAATAAATTGGTTGTTAGTATCGAATTATGATTATGGTCCATTTTTCTTGTTCAACGGAAAGGCATACACCTTTGCTGGTAGTCTGTCTCGACACAGACGCGAGGGCGTGTTGTTCCCGTCACAAATAAGTAACAACTTATTAATTTGATTTTTCAACATAATTTTCTTCTGTGCATTAATTTACGATTGATTTATGATCAGAATTAAAACTTATTTTTGCACCTAGATTTGACGGGAAGGTTAAGAAACATGGACCATCCGCGTCATAGTACCTACTTGTCATAATCTAAAGAGGCGTCACTATCAAACAGAAAGATGATATTGGCTGAAATGAAGAAAGTGTGTTAGTTATGGTAAGGTTTGATCTGAATATGTGAACTTACGTTAATTAGGTAACTGTTGTTCTCAAGACAATATCATAGGCATTTATTTGAAAACAAATAAATATCAAAATACTATGCAATATAAATATAGTCAATTTTATTTTGATTGTACATTTTAATATACACCTGCGTCAGGCGATATTGTACGAATATAATTAACAACGCAATTGCACATGTGCATTACATTTCTGGTACGTACTATCAATTCTAAA